CTCAGAAGGAAGATGGGGCAATCTACTTCCGTAGTGATACTGCCTCGGAAACCCAAGGAGGGGTCTCTATGAGTCGGGTCCGACTTGACGGCAAATAACAACAACAACAGGTAGATTAAAAAAAAAACTACATGATTTCTGTAACCTCTAGACCTAACTAGACAAATAAAATAAATGTTATCTTTTCCTACTTTTTATAAGACATACTAATAGCTAGTTGTTTGTTAGTTGCTGTCAAATTGGTCCCCAACTCATGGTGACCCCAGTGCAAAATGGAAAGAAACATTGCTCAGTTCTTTGCCATCCACAGTACTGGTTATGGTTGGTTGGTTCTAGGGAGTGTGTACTTCTCTGGTATTATTGTTCACCTTACAGGCCTATCTGCTGTTTGGCTAAAAGCTGAACTACTGAGGTGAGTTTGGTTCTGGCTTGAAGGATGAGCAAGGGCCATCGTCTTGGGATTCCACCAGTCTTTTTTATTATTATTATTTGAGTTTTGTTCCACATTTACACCCACTCTATCAGGGACCTCCTTTTGTTATCCTTTTAAGAGCTGTCAGTGGTGGTAGCCAGGTACCATCTAGTTCTTCTGTCTCAGGGTTGTGGAGGCTGGGGTTCATGTGGTCCCTGAGTCCTTTGAATTAATTGTTTCCTTGCCTCTTTGACTTTCTTCACTCTTCTTTAATCTGGGTAGAGAAAGACCAATAATTGCATCTTAGAAGGCCACTTAAAAGCTTTTAACACTTCGGTCGTTATTCACCAAAGGTTATTCACCAAAGTCGGCTGCAGAATGTTGTCTTTGTAGACTATGTTATGCCAATTGACATGAATGCCCCCCAAGGTTATCATCTTGCCCTCAGGTCTGAGGCTGTGCTCTGCAGTCCTTAGGGCTAGTGACTCATTCCTTCAAGGTGTTTGATTATGCCTAAGAAGTTTTCATAACTTTGCCCCCTATATCCTGTACTATATTTATGGATATATTTGCAGCACATACAAATATATATATAGAAATATCCTCTGTCAAACCTATATGTGTCCGTGGGTATAGTCCCATTCATTTTTCCATACCTAATCAGCTTGGGCTTCTGTCTGTGTATTCACTCATAGATTATTATTATTAATTGTTACTGCTGGATTGTATATATAATATTATTTACCTTTGTTGCCTTTAACTCTTGTACTTCTCTCAATGTCTTCCTTTGCCTTGATCATTTTGTGCTGACCGCTTTCTTATTGTGTGTTGCTTTTTCCTTCATCCAAGTTAATAGATATCTACCTTGTAGTTAGTGAGTACCCCTTCTTTTCTCACCCACCCCTGTAACCATCTTTTTCTTTCTATTTCTAAACCTTTTCTTGACTTTTTGATCATTTGTACTGACCTCCTCCTTACTGTGTATTGTGTTTCCCTTCACCCAAGTTATTGTGTGTCTACCCCCTATACTTAGCAAATTCTCCACAGTGAACATGTTTTAAAAAATAATTTATAAGAGGGAGGAGTTATGTGAAAAGACACCTTAAATTTATTTTCATGAAAATTTTAAAGTGAGGTATATCGGACAAATTTGTGGGTTCACTACCCCCCCCCCTTTTTTTTTTAAAAAAAACAACAGGTTGTGCTTTTAACTATTTAAGTTTTTTTCCTGTATATATATTAGCTACCACTTGTTGGTCAGTTTATTGTACTGTGGCAGCTTGTGTGTTGCTTTGAGGCTGGAGACTATGCCACTGGTATTTCAAATACTACCAGCAGGGTCACCCATGGTGAACAGGTTTCAGCAGAGCATCCAGACTGAGACACAACTGTGAAGAAGGAAAGGGCCAGCCACTTTTCAAAAAATAAAAAGTATTTGCCAGTGAAAACTTCATGAATAGTAGTGAAACACTGATATTTTACTGGAAAACTTTATGAATAGCCTTGAAACATTGTCTCATGTAGTGCTGGAAAATGAGTCTTTCAGCTCAGAAGGCACTCAAAATATGACCAGGGAAGAGCCGCCTCCTCAAAGTGGAGTCAATTTTAATGATGTGGATGGAGTAAAGCTTTCAGGACCTCCATTTGCTTATATGGGATGGCTCAAAATAGGAAGAAACAGCTGCAAACATCCATTATTATTGGAACACAGAATGTATGACGTATGAATGCAGGAAAACTGGAAATTGTAAAAAATAAAATGGGATGCAAAAAGATCAATATTACTAGGCATTAGTGAGCTGAAATGGACTGTTATTGGCCATCTTTGATCAGACAATCATATGATCTACTCTGCTGCTAATGACAAATACAAGAGAAGTGGTATGACATGCATTGTCACAAAGAATGTTTCAAGATCTCTCCTGAAGTACAGTGCTGTCAGTGATAGGATAATATCTATATGCTGTTCTGGTTACTGAGTGCTGCTCTGACAAGAGTATACCACAGATGGGATAGCCTTAACAAAAAGAGTTTATTCTCTTACAATTTGGAGGCTTTAAGTCCCAGTTCAAAGTGCCAGGCTCTAGGGGCTGTGTGAAAGCCCCTCGACCTTGGGCTTCAGCTCTGCTGCTTGCTCCTGGCCCACTGAAGCTAGAGGCATCTCTCCATTCAGGCAGCTGCTAACTACTGAGGCTGACAAACCCAAGGTCAATAAGTGAAAAGGCACAGTCCCAATGTTACCAAACCACACGGCAGGCCATTAATTCAAGTCATTTGAATGTCCCAGGGTTGGCAGAGCATGGCAGGCTGCTGAACAAAGACACGGCTGCATGCAGGGTCCAAGAGTGACATAAACTAGAGACTATCTCAAAGGCAGCTACTCAGCTGCTTGTGGTAGATCCCACTATGGAGTTGATTGCCAGTCTCATCAGGGGAATAATTACCACCAGCTGCCCATCCACTCAACCAGGCCCAGCCAAGTTGACATACAAATTTAACTACCACAATTCCACCCCTTGTCAACTTGGCACCTGTACAGATCTCTCTCACTAGGTGACTCCAGTCCCCTAGTTCTTCTACATGGCAACCTCACCTCTTTGGCCTGGTGGCCCGTTCTTCTTCCTCCTGGGCATGGCAGTCCTGTCCCCTCACTCTTGAGCAGCAGCTATGGCTCCATCCCACTAGCTCACATGAACGAGCAGCCCCACACTCCAGAACTGAGTTGGTGAAGGTCTAACTCTTTGAAACCTAAGGGGTTATGGTGGTTCCACCCCCAAAGGCCATGGTCCTACCCTTTGAGGCTGAGGCAGCTCTGCTTCCCATTTCCTTAGTCTCTCTGCTTCTGCCAGTTAATGCCTGAGGGCAACCCACTCCCAGAAATCTTTCTGCCCAAATGACACTTAGCTTTCTTGCTCCATGAGCCAGCCAACCTGCTACTCCATTTCATGCTGGTCTCTTCACCAATTAATGCCCGAAGGCAACCCACTCCACCAGGAAGCTGCCTTCTCAATGGCAGCCGGCTTTCTCCTCTGTGGGCTAGTAAGCCTGTTGCTATTTAATGCTGGTCTCTTGGCTCTGCTTCTGCCATCTCTCATGCTGTATGCCTGTGCCAGGGTCTCTCTCCCAAGATCTTGGATCAAGGATGCACTCCACTCCTGTTTCCACATTTTAGGTATCTGTCAGAGCAGCACCCCACTCTCTCACTACCATAGTCTGTTTTGTTTACCTAGTGCTGCACTGATAGGAATATACACCACAAATGGGATGGTCGTAACAAACAGGACTTTATTCTTATAATTTGGAGGCTTTAAGCCCAAGTTCAGAGTGTCAGGCTCTAGGGGCTGGGTGAAAGCCCCTCAACCTTGGGGTCCAGCTCTGCCTCCTGCTTCTGGCCCACTGGAGCTAGAGAGGTTTCTTCATCAAATAACTGCTGGTTGCTGAGGCTGAGAAGCCCCCAGGTTGACAAGTAAAAAGGCACAGTCCCAATGTTACCAAACCACACAACAGGCCATTAACTTAAGTCCATTGTAAGTCCCAAGGTCGG